TGAATAGAGAATGTGGTGTGTACATGCCATGGAGTGTCATTCAGCCTGAAAAAGAAGGAAATTTTGATATACGCTATGATATGAATGAACCTTGAGGACACTGTGCTGAGCGAAATAAGCCAGTCACAAGAGAGCAAATACTATGTGACTCCAGTCATATGAGGTTCCTAGAGTCATCAAATCAGAGACACAGAAACTGGAACGGTGATTGCTGGGGGCCAGCGTAGGGGGAAGGGGGAGCGAGTGTAATGGGGACAGAGGTTCAGCTTTGCAAGGTGGAAGGCGTTCTGGAGAGGATGGTAGTGGTGGCCGCACACAGTGTGACTGTACCTAATGCCAGTGACCTGTGTGCTAAAAAATGGTTGAAATGCTAAATTTTATGTCATGTGTATCTTACCACAATTTTTAAAATAATAATAGGCCGGGTGCAATGGCTCACACCAGTGATCCCAGCGCTCTGGGAGGCTGAGGCATATGGATCACCTGAGGTCGGGAATTCGAGACCAACTTGGCCGACATGGCAAAACCTCATCTCTACTAAAAACACAAAATTAGCTGGGTGTGGTGGCACATGCCTGTAATCCCAGCTACTCAGGAGGCTGAGGCAGGAGAATCACTTGAACCTGGGAGGCAGAGGTTGCAGTGAGCCAAGATCATGCCACTGCACTCCAGCCTGGGCAACAGAGTGAGACTCCATCTCAAAAAAATAAAAATGATAAAAAGTCCCTTCACCATGTGCGGTGGCTCATGCCTGTAATCCCAGCACTTTGGGAGGCCGAGGTGGGTGGATCACGAGGTCAGGAGATTGAGACCATCCTGGCCGACATGGTGAAACCCCATCTCTACTAAAAATACAAAAATTAGCTGGGTGTGGTGGCGCATGCCTGTAGTCCCAGGTATTCGGGAGGCTGAGGCAGGAGAATTGCTTGAATCCAGGAGGCGAGGTGGAGGTTGCAGTGAGCCGAGATTGCACCACCACACTCCAGCCTGGTGACAGAGCAAGACTCTGTCTCCAAAAAAAAAGGTCTCATCCGAGGGCTGCCCAGACTCTGGCCCCCACGTGAGGGGCGGGGGTGCCTTTCCCACGAGGCCGGGAAATCAGCACATTTTGTTCCGAGTCCCCCACCTCAACCACAGGGTTACAGGCCAACCCTTCGTCAGGGGCTTTTTGGACCCCAACTTTTCCTGGCACCACAGGCTCCGAAGAAGCCCCTCCCCTGCCAGCTGCAGCACCCACGCACCTTCAAACCACGGTGGGTCCTCCGCCCGGGTCTCAGCCGCGATGTTCTGGCTGACGTTGTGTAGGAGGTCAGCCAGCAGCCTCTGCCTCTGCGGGGCCTGCTCATCACACAGCAGCTGCTGGGCGGCCTGGATGAGGCCCGCGTGCGGCTCGTGAAACGCACTGAGGAAGCGCCTGATGTCACTCACATCTGCCACCAAAGGGACCAACAAAAAGGTGCCAGTCCAGCAGAAGACACATCCTGGCCCGGTCACAAGAAGAGCCTCTGACCCCATCTTCCCCATCACTCAGGGCCTGGGAATCACAAAGACTCAGACTCAAGGTGTCCCAGGTCTTTGTCCTTGCCCTGACACCAACAGCTAGGGACCACGCATCAGGGCAGCGTGAGGACAGGGAGGAAGGGGCAGGTTGTGCTTCAGAAGACAGACAAAAGCCCACCGAGAGACGGCTGCTTCCCCATCTGACCTCCTCTCCTCCCAACCACGCTGCCCCTCCCTCGGCCCTTCCTGGAGACCTCGCTTTCAGACCTCTTCTGCTCTCTCCTGGAGCCTTTTCACAACTCCCTGAAGCAGACTGCTCTCCAGGCAAGCACTTAATAGAAAGTTAAAACAAAGTCTACCCAGGACCTTCACAAAACATTAGCAAAGAGTATTCAGTAAGACGAGAAAAGAGGTATACACCATGGCCAAGCAGGAATGCAAGGCTGGTTCACACCTCAAAATGAATCAGTCCGATCCACCATATTAGAAAAGTCTCGTGATCACATCAGCAGATGCAGAAGGCTCACTGTGGAGCGAGGACGTGGTGGAATCCTTAGACAACATCAAAAGCACAGCATAAAAGAAAAAATCAACAGAATGAGCTTCCTCAAAATGAAAAATACTTAAAAAAAAAAAAAAAAAAAAAAAAATGCTCTTAAGAGAATGAAAAGACAAGCCACAAGGCTTGCAAATATTTGCAAACCACATATCTGACAAAGAACTCATGTCCAGGTATTTTGGTAGGGTTGGGAGGTGACTTTCAAAACTTAACAGTATTAAAAAAATCCAGTTAGAAAACGGACAAGGGACATGAAGAAACACTTCACCAAGGAGACTCTACAGAGGGCAAATAAGCATGTAAAAACGTATTTAGGGCTGGGTGTGGTAGCTCACACCTATAATTCCAGCACTTTCAGAGACTGAGGTGGGAGAATCACTTAAGCACAGGAGTTTAAGACCAACCTGGCAATATAGCAAGACCCCATCTCTAAAAAAAATAAATAATTAGCTGTGCATGGTGGTGCACACCTGTAGTCCCAGCTACTTGGGAGGCTGAGGTGGGAGGATTGTTTGAGCCCAGGAATTCAGGGTTGCAGTGAGCCACGATTGCCACTGCACTCCAACCTGGGCAACACAGTGAGACCCTGTCTCTATTTTTACAAAAGATATTCAGATAGTTGGCATCGTTAACCATTAGGGAAATCCATATTAAGGCTGCAATGAGACATCATCACATTGCAATCAGAATGGCTAAAAATAAAGGTACTTAACGCTGGCAAGGCTGCACAGAAACTGCAGAGCGGAAAGGGAAGATGACCTCTCTGGTATACAGCTTGGTGGCTTCTTTTCCTTACTTTAAGTAGCTTTATTGAAATATAATTCACACTCCTTATAATTCACGCATTTAAAGTGCACAATTCCATGTGTTTTATTACATTCCCACAGTTGTGCAGCCACATCCACAGTCAACTTTAGAGCATTATCTTTTTTTTTTTTTCCTGAGAAGGAGTTTCACTCTTTTGCCCAGGATGGAGTGAAATGGTGCGATCTCGGCTCACCGCAACCTCTGCCCCCAGGGTTCAAGCAATTCTCCTGCCTCAGCCTGCCAAGTAGCTGGGACTACAGGTGCATGCCACCACACCCGGCTATTTTCTGTATTTTTATTTGAGACAGGGTTTCACCGTGTTGGCCAGGCTGGTCCTAAACTCTTGACTTCAAGTAATCCACCGGCCTCAGTCTCCCAAAGTGCTAGGATTACAGGCATGAGCCACCATGCTCAGCCAATTTTAGAACATTTTCACCACCTGAGAAAGAAACCTCATACTCTTTCACTACCAATCCCCCCTCCCCTTGACCTGCCCCCAACCCTAAACGACCACTACTCTATTTTCTGTCTCTAACATCCCTGTTCTGGATGTTTCCTGTGCATGGAACTTTGCTGTGTGTGCTGGCATCTGGACTCGTCACGAGTTCATGGCTCAGCCACGCTGTGCCTTGTTCCTCTTCATGGTGAGTGATTCCACCGGATGGATGTGCCACACTTTTTTATCCATGTGTTCATCACTGGAGACTTGGGTAGTTTCCAACTTTTGGCTATTATGAAAAAAGCTACCACTGACACTCACGTGTGAGTTTTGGTGTGGACGTGTTTTCATTTCTCCTGGGTACTTACCTAGGAGTGGAGCTGCTGGTTCACATGGCGACTCTGTAACTGAGAAGCTGCCAGACGGTTTTCCACAGCAGCTGTGCCGTTTTGCCTTCCCACCAGCCGGGCATGAGGGTTCCCATTTCTCCACATCCTCGCCCACACTGGCTGCCATCCCAGTGGGTATGAAGTGGCATCTCACTGTGGGTTTTGTTTGCAGTTCCCTCATGACTGATGATATTGAGCATCTTTTCATGTGCTTACTGACCATCTGAATATCTTCCTTGGAGACATTTCTATTCAGAACCTTTGCCAGGTTTAACTCGGTTGTCTTTTCACTATTAAGTTATAAGGATTCTTTGCATATTCTGATGCAAGTCCCGGATCAGGTACATGACTGGCAACTATTTTCTCCAATTCTGTGGGCTGTCTTTCAGCCTCCTTCATGGTGTCCTTTGAAGCACTAAAGTTCCTAATTTTTCTATTTCTGAAACGGAGTCTCATTCTGTCACTCAGGCTGGAGTGCAGTGGCATGATCTCGGCTCACTGCAGCCTCCGCCTCCTGGGTTCAAATGATTCTCCTGCCTCAGCCTCCTGTGTAGCTGGAATTACAAGCGCCTGCCACACACCCAGCTAGTTTTTGTATTTTTAGTAGATAGGGACTTTCACCATGTTGGCCAGGCTGGTCTGAAACTCCTGACCTCAAGTGATCTGCCCATCTCGGCCTCCCAGAGTGCTGGGATTACAGGTGTCGAAGCAGGAGCAGCAGGGAACAAACCTCTCAAACACCGAACTGAGGCAGGAAGAGGCTTTTGATTCGGCTGGGAGCTGCAAGGGGCTACAGCCTCATTCACGGAGCTCCCCGAGCTGCATCTTCTCTCCCCTTTTATGGGTTTACAATGCTAAAGGGGAAACTGAGGCAGAACTATATCATTGTCCATTTGCTGGACATCTGACTTCATCGATTTGCTAATTCATATGCAGCGCGAGCGGGGATCAGCTGGGGAGGGGGCTTGCAGAGACAAGACGAAAGCAACAAGCCGTTTGTTGGCAGAGGTGTTTCCAGGAGGGAGCCTGGTCTGTGGAGACGTGGGGGCGTGACCCAGTGCCGGGCTCCGGCCGGCAGGGATGGCATTCATCTGCAGCTCTTTCAAGGTTAACAGACAGCAGAGACGCTGGGAACTAAAGAGGGAGTCGTTTCCCAGCTCTTTGGTATCTTATTTTATTTTTTTCTTCACTCTCCTTCCCATCTGGAAGCGGGGGAGGGAGGAGGTGACATTAAAGGAGGCGAGGGGGGGTCTCCCCTCTTAGCGTGAGCCACTGTGTCCAGCCCAAAGTTCTTAATTTTGATGAAGTCCACTTTATCTGTTTTTCCTGCTGCTGCTCATGTTTTGGTGTCAAATCTAAGCCTCCTTTGCCCAATCCAAGGTGATGAGGACTTACCCCTATGTTTTCTTCCAAGGGTTTCATATTTTTAACTTTTACATTTAGGTCTTTTATTTAAGTTAATTTTTGTATAAGGTACCAGGTAAGGGTCTGGCTTCATTCTTTCCTATGTGATTATCCAGTTGTCCCAGCACCATTTGCTGAAGACACTCTTCTTTCCCCCGCATTGAAAGGTCCTGGCATCCTGACCACAGGTACGTAGATCTCTGGGCGCTCTATCCTGTTCCTCTGCTCAGTATCTGTCCTCACACCGGTGCCAGTCTTGACTACTGCGGCTTTGTACTAAGATTTGAAATCAGGATATGTGGGCCTCCTACTACGTCCTTTTGACGGTTATTTTAGCTATTCCAGGTCTCTTGCAATTCCATATGAACTGTGGATTAGAATCAGCACGTCAATTGCTACAATGAAACCAGTTGAAATTTTCATAGGGATTGTGCTGAATTTGTAGGTCAACGTGGGGACTTCTACCATCCTAACAATGTTCAGTTTTCCAGTCCGTGAACGTGGGATGTTAACCCATTCATTCAAATCTGTCATTTCTTTCAACAATGTTTTGCAGCTTTCAGAACATAAGCATTACAATTTTTCATTACACTTATCCTAAGTATTGTATTCTTTTGGATGCCAATGTAAATGGGATTATTTTGTTTCATTTTCAGATTGTTCATTGTAAGTGTGTATCCATATTCGTATATTGACCTTGTATCTTTCCACCTTGCTAAACTTGATGATTAGTTCTAATCATTTTTTAGTGGATTCCTTAGGGTTTTCTATATGCAAGTTCATATGATCTGCAAACAGGAAAAGCTTCACTTTTTCCTTCCCAAACTGGATGCCTTTTGTTCTTCTTGCCTAAATGTTCTGTCTAGACCCTGCAGTGCCATACTAAGCAGAACCGGCAAGAGTGGACATCCTTATCTCCAGAAGCTAAACACACACCACACAATGCACTACTCCACTCCTGGGCATTTTCCCCAGAGGAACGAAAACCTACATCCCACCAAAACCTGGAAATATGGCCAGGTGCGGTGGCTCACACCTATCATCCCAAAACTCAGGGAGGCCAAAGTGGGTAGGTCACTTGAGCTTAGGAGTTCAAGACCAGCCTAGCCAACATGATGAAGCCCTGTTTCTACAGAAAATACAAAAATTAGCCAGGCATGGTGGTGTACCCCTGTAGTCCCGGCTCCTCAGGGGCTGAGGCGGGAGGATCACCTGAGCCCAGGAGGAGAGCTGCAGTGAGCTACGATTGCACCACTGCGCTCCAGCCTGGGCGACAGGGTGAGACCCTGCCTCAAAAGAAAAAAAGAAAGAGAAAAGGAAAACCTGAATATAATTGGCCATAGCAGCTTTATTTGTAATAGTCAAAAACTGGAAACAAACAAAATACCCTGCCACAGGTGAATGGTTGAACAAACTGTGGCAGAAACCAACCATGGAATACTATTCAGCATAAAAAGGAACAGAGTATGGGCACGCATTGCTTAGATGCATCTCAGGAGCCTTATGTGGAGTAAAAAAGCCCCATCTCAAAAGGTCACATACTGTATGATTCCACCTACCTACTATTCTTCAAATGACAAAATTATAGACATGGAGAACATATCAGCAGGTGCTACAGGCTAGGGATTGGTGGTGGCCAGGGGTAGGCAGGATTATAAAGGGGAGAACCTTGAGTGCTGGATGGGAGAGGTCTCTGCCTTGACCCTGACTCTGGTCACAGGTATCTACATAGGGAGAAATGACAGAAGAATGCACACATTGTGACAGAGTCTGTGTGCCCGCTTTGATGTTGTACCATGGTTGTGTCTGATGTCGCCTGTGAGGGAAAGGGTGGAGGTACATGGGACCTTCCTATCTGTGCAACTTCCTGGGAATCTATCATTATTTCTAAATAAACAATTTAGGCCAGGCACAGTGGCTCACACCTGTAATGCCAGCATTTTAGGAGGCTGAGGCAGGAGGACAGCTTCAGCCCAGGAGTGTGAGACTATGCTGGGCAACATGGCGAAACCCCATCTTTACAAAAGACACAAAACAATTAGCCAGGCATGGTAGAGAATGCCTGTGGTTCTAGTTACCTGGGAGGCTGAGGAGAGAGGACAGCTTGAAACATGGAGATCGAGGGTGCAGTGAACCATGTTTGTGCCACTGCGCTCCAGCCTGGGCAACAAAGTCTCAAAACATAAATAAAATAAAAAATTTTGGGCCAGGCACCGTGGCTCACGCCTGTAATCCCAGCACTTTGGGAAGCCAAGGCAGGAGGATTGCTTGGGCCCAAGAGTTTGAGACCAGCCTGGGCAACAGAGTGAGACCCCATCTCAAGGTTTTAAAAAAGGAAAACGAAATTTGTTTGAGTCTAACAAATTTCGAGAAGGAGGACGAGTGGTCTCAGGGAAGAGACAGGGACAAAGCACCAGAGAGAGGAGAGACAGAGAGACAGAGACAGACAGAGACAGACAGAGGAGAGAGACAGGGGAGAGAGACAGGGACTGGAAGGTGCCGGGAGGGACAGAGAGCCACGTGTTCTGCTCTCTTGCAACTATGCCCTGAAATGGGAAAGAAAGGAAATGTCCAAAGGTGAGGAATACCCTGAGCACACCCCTGCCCAGCCCCGCCCCCGAAGGGGCCACCCCAGGGGCCATCACAGTGATACATGTTCTGGCTGCATCCTCTGGGAGCACAAGGCCCAGTGGAGAAAGGGGGCTTGCAACCTTGGCGCCACCCCTCAGTGCTGACAGCTGAGCCCCAACAGTGCAGCCAGGGACATGGCCACGTGCACGCTCCTCCTGGTCTTCTCTCTTTCTGCCCTTTAGGCTAAGGAGGCAGAGCTCCATCCCTCAGAGCACCCACATCCTTCCTGGGCACTAGAAGTGTCTCCTGAAGCCCCACCCCTTCGCACAACACTGGCTGACCCTCCCAGGGAAGGGCACACGATGGCGTCTCCCCCCACCTCGGCCAAAAGCTCTCCTTTATAGAGTCCAACAAGCACAGACCTTGGCATTCAGCTGCTTCTGAAAGGCAGGACTTTGTGTTCTGAGGTTTCAATACAGATTCCCCTAAAGAGCCACCTCTCAAAGCAACTGCCCCCGAGCCTGAGCTCTGAGGGCAGCATCTCTGCAAACACCAACAGGGAACGACGTGAACATCCCATGGGCCAACAACCCGTCCTTCCAGAAGGGCCTCAGCCCAGCAGAACAGAACAGCACCTCTTCCTGGCTCCACCTTCCCCACCAAACCGTGCAGGCCCCAGCGCCAAAGCCCTCCCTCTGCTCTTGGGAATTGCTAGGACACCTCAAATGTACACAAATAAAAATTTTTTTTTTTTTGAGACAGAGTCTCGCTCTGTCGCCAGGCTGGGGTTTAGTGGCACGATCTCGGCTCACTGCAACCTCCAACTCCCAGGTTCAAGGGATTCTCCTGCCTCAGCCTTCCGAGTAGCTGGGACTACAGGTGCACACCACCACACCCCGCTAATTTTTATGTTTTTAATAGAGATGGGGTTTCACCATGTTGGCCAAGATGGTCTCAATCTCTTGACCTCATGATCCACCCGCCTCAGCCTCCCAAAGTGCTGAGATTACAGGAGAAAGCCACCATGCTCGGCCAATTAAAAGACTTTTTAGAAGAAAAAGACAACCAACTGAGCAACTGGGTGCATGAACGAGAGGACTGAGGACTCTGCCATCTAAGTGACGCTGACCAGCTCTGACTCCAGAGGGCTTCCTCCTTGAGACCTGAGAGTTCAGAGTAAGGGGGACCCTGCGCCACCCCAACATGCACTCCCAGGACCCCCGAGAGTGCCAGCTTCCCGCCCACCTCCAAGGTCCTTGCCACTCACAGCCCTGCCAGGCCTGGCCCGAGGTGAGCAGCACCAGCTCGGTGTCATCGGGGATGCTGGGGAAGTAGTCCTCGGTCAGCTCCGTGCCATCCTCGTACAGGCACAGCCGGGAGCCGCGCTCAGGTAGCTGCAGGGGCGGGAGAGGCGACAGGAGGAGGCAGGGTCTCAAGACGAGAGCTTTCAACTGCAGGCCTCACAAACGTCCAAAATGAGCTGTGTTGTTGTTTTGGTTTTTTTTTTTCATTGTACTTTAGGTTCTACGAGCTGTGTTTAAAAAGCAGGCTCACGCTGCTGCCTGTATATGCCACAGTGCGTCAGCGCCCCGGCAAGGATGAGGGATCCGGAGCAAGAGCGCCTGACTGTAGGCCTTTCTAAAATAGGAGGAGTCAGGAAAAACATACAGCAGGTGGCGAACGCTTGCTCTGCAGGATTCACCTTTTTAAAATGAGCTCCTGAGGGTACTTCAAATACAGCCTGTCAGCCGGGCGTGGTGGCTCACGCCTGTAATCCAAGCACTTTGGCGGCCAAAGCGAGCGGATCGCCTGAGGTCGGGAGTTCAAGACCAGCCTGACCAACATGGTGAAACCCCGTCTTTAAAAAAAATAAATTTTAAAAAATAAAAATTAAAAATACAGCCTGTCTCTGTCAGCGCCACCCTCCTGCTTCCAGGAGCTGGCACCACCCCCCCACCACCACCCCCAGCGCACAGCCGTCAGGAAACCCAGTCTCTCCTAAAAATACAACAATTAGCTGGGCGTGGTGGCGCGTGCCTGTAGTCCCAACTACTGGTCAGTTTTAGGCATTTTATGGCAACTCCCACCCCTGCCAGGCCTGGCATGCACACCTGGTAACACTCGCACTGGTCTAAAAAAGGACACTGACCTAAAATAAGGTGACGATTGCAATCCCCAGCTGCGAGGGCTGGAAGGGCCTGCAGAGCTCACCTAGCCAAGCCTTTCATTTTACGCAAAGGGAAGCCGAGGCCGGGAAAGGCAGAGTGGCCGCGACCCTGCGTGCCAGCACGTGGCACTCAGCGCGTGTCTCCTGGCTCCGCATGCAGGGCTGTGCTGACCCAGAGGCGGGAAGAGGAAAGGGGTGATCCGGTCGCTCCCCAACCCGCCTGCGCTCCGAAGCCACGATCGGGAACCCCAGGCTGCGGAGGCCCTGGTGCCCAGCGACTGAGGCGAACGAAAACCACCCTCCCCAGGCGCCGCCCGCACCCTCCGCTTTGGAAGAGGAAAAGCGGCACCTCCTATTCTCCCCACACGCCTCCCCGGCCGGCACCTGGAAGCGGAGGCAGCCTTTCCGCAGCACTTCCCGGCAGCTCCTGCCAGCCACGCCGAACTTCCTCGGGCTGCGCAGGGCCCGCAGCTTCACGATCTTGGGCTTCTGGAGCATTGCAGATGTCCTGCAGGCCGCTGGGCCCCGCAGGTGGCGGCACCCGCTGGCCGGCTGCTCAGGCACCTCCTCGCCCCGGCCGCAGGGGTCTGCACCGGGCGGGTTCTGCAAAGCTGGCACTGGCCAGGCGCCGATCCAGGAAACTACATTACCCAGAAGGCCCGGGGAAGCGGGTGCGCGACGTGTCCTTGTGCGCAGGCACCGCCCCCGAAAACTACACTACCCAGAAGGCCTGGGAAAAGTGGTGCCCGACGTGGTCTTGTGCGCAGGCGTCACCCCACGGAAACTACATTACCCAGAAGGCTCGGGAAAGCAAAGGCGCGTCGTCGCCTTCTGCCCTGGTGCCCTGGCCCCGGAAACTACCTGAGCCGGAGGGCACGAGAAACCGAGGCCTCCCTTGTGCGCAGGCGCGGCTGGGGCGGGGCGGGGTCGCGCAGGCGCGGAGGGCCCGGCCCAGGGCTGGGCTTGGTTGTCATGAGAGCGGCGGCTGCGGCCGTGGCGATGGACAGAAGCGGCAGGGGCTGCTCCTCCCCTACCACCGCCGCGGCAGCTTGGGGTGCAAGCCAGCCTGGGGCGGCGGAGGGGGCGCCGCCTGAGTTCCGCTGGAGAGAGCGGCGGCTGCCGAGGTGGTCCGCGAGGACCGGGACCCGCCCGCCCCTGGGGCCCGGGCGCTGAGGCACGGCCTGGCCGCCTCCCCGGGCCGCTCCGCAGCTCCGACCCGGCCGCCCTCTCCGTCGGGGCCGGGGCAGCGCCAGTCGGGGCCGTCCGCTCTGAGCAGGTACCTTCCGGGGCCGGGGCCGGAGTGGGGCGCGGGGCGCGGGGCGCGGGGCGCGGTCCCCACCCGGGAGCCAGGTACGAAACCTGGGCGCGCGGTGCCAGCCCGGACGGTGTGCGCTTAGGCTCCGGCCTTGCTGTCGCCGAAGAGCCGGCGCGGCCCCAGCGTGCCAGATGCCGGGGAGCTCAGCCCGGGCGCTGGGAGCGCCTGTCCCGGCCGGGACGGCCCGTTTAGCCAGGATCTTATTTTCATGCCCCGGCTTTTCCTGTTCTGGGTGCATAGCACATAGCGGGCCAGTTTCAGATGCGTTCTGCTGAGCGAAAGTTTGAAGAAACATGCTCTGCCGATAGGGATTACAGTTTGATGGTGGTTTTTTGTGTTCGTTTTGCACACTTAAGTTTTAGATTTGTCTGAAGCCCTTTCAGTCGGTAAGATGACTTGACCAGAAGTCACTATTTGTGTAACATTTAAGTCTTTGAGACAGAGTCTCACTCTGTTGCTCAGGCTGAAGTGCAGCTCACTGCAACCTCTGCCTCCTGGGTTCAAGCGATTCTCCTGCCTCAGCCTCCCGAGTAGCTGGGACTACAGGTGTCCACCACCACTCCCAGCTAATTTTTGCACTCTTAGTAGAGGCTGGGTTTTGCCCTGTTGGCCAGGCTGGTCTTGAACTCTTGACCTCAAGTAATTTGCCCGCCTCGGCCTCCCAGAGTGCTGGTATTATACGCGTGAGCCACCGCGCCTGGTCACACTTAAGTCTTCTTTAAAAAAAGATCTGGCCGGGCGCGGTGGCTCACACCTGTATTCCCAGCATTTTGGGAGACCGAGGCGGGCAGACCACGAGGGCAAGACATCGAGACCATCCTGGCCAACATGGTGAAACCCCGTCTCTACTAAAAATACAAAAATTATCCGAGCGTGGTGGCACACGCCTGTAGTCCCAGCTACTCGGGAGGTTGAGGCAAGAGAATCACTTGAACCCGGGAGGCAGAGGGTGCAGTGAGCCAATCGCACCACTGCAAATCTCACCACTGCACTCCTGCCTGGCGACAGAGCGAAACTCCGTCTCAAAAAAAAAAAACAAAAAGAAAATCGGAAACAAGTTTTGTTTTCCAGCCGTGTAACAAAGTCGTAGTGAGGGATGAGACCACATGGAGTCGTAGCTGCTTGGGGAGAAATGCACTCTGGCACTTGTGGGGATGCCGATGGCTGTCCCTGGGACAACGGGGTTCCCACGTGACTCTGGTGAGGAAGACCAGCCAATAACTGCACATTCAACAGAGCTTAGGTTCTTCCTGAATTGTTAATGGTGATTTTTTAGAGGCTAAAAGTGGCATCCTTCAGGGACACTCCAAGTATTTTATGTAACACTTGAGGGTTTACGCAGAGGGGACCATAGTGTACAGCTGGAGGGTGTTTGGAGGGGTGCAGAGGTAGACTGGAAAAGGAATCCTTCTCAAATACCAGACTGAGGCAACAGCATTGCCTCCACAGTGCCTGTGCACGGCTCTTAGCTGGTTCTTAAATGCCAGTGCTTTGTTTTAGATTTACTGGGGGCAATACGACATAATGGAAACACACTTGACTTAAAAGGTCTACCTTTACATCTTAGAGCCATAACAGAGAGTCTTGGTTAGGATCAGAGACTAGCCAGGCTCGATGGCTCACACCTGTAATCCCAACACTTTAGGACACTAAGGTGGAAGGATTGCTGAAGGCTACGAGTTCAAGAGCAGCCTGGACAACACAGTGAAACCCCATCCCTACCAAAAAAAATTAAGTAGTGTGCCTATAGTCCTAGCTACTCAGGAGGCTGAGACGAGGATCACTTGAGCCCAGGAGTTCAAGGTTACAGTGAGATACGATCACTCCACTGCAGTACAACCTGGGCAACAGAGTGAGACCCCGTATTTAAAAAAAAAAAAAAAAAATTGGGATCAGGTGCAATGGCTCATGCCTGTAATCCCAGCACTTTGGGAGTTCAAGGTAGGTGGATCACTTGAGGTCAGGAGTGCAAGACCAGCCTGGCCAACCCGTGGTGAAGCCCCATCCCTACTAAAAATAGAAAAATTAGCCAGACATGGTGGCATGTGCCTGTAGACCTAGCTACTTGGGAGGCTGAGGCAAGAGAATCGTTTGAACCCCGGAGGCGGAGGTTGCAGTGAGCCAAGATCGCGCCAGTGTACTCCAGCCTGGGCAAGAGCGTGAAAGTCTATCTTAAAAATACATAAGAGAAATAGAAATGGTATCAACGAGGGCCCAGGGCATATTAGAAATCCTATGAAAATGAATTAAAGGACTATTAGAAAAATGTTTACAATTGTTTAGAATATGATAACCAAGCAGAATCTCAGATCNAAAAAAAAAAAAAAAAAACAGCCAGAGTCTGGAACCCAACAGCCTGAGCACAAGAACTATTTTCAAGGTGGATTAGGGAGTGAAAGGCCCTTCTCTTAAAATGATGCGAGGGATCTGGGATGGTGGCTCACACCTGTAATCCCAGCACTTTGGGAGGCTGAGGCAGGCAGATCACTTGAGGCCAGGAATTTGAAATCAGCCTGGCCAACATGGCAAAACCTCATGTCTACTTAAAAAAAAAAAAAAAAAGTAGCCAGGCATGGTAGCCCATGCCTATAATCCCAGCCACTCGGGAGGCTGAACCACAAGAGTCACATGAACCCAGGAGACACATTGCAGTGAGCCGAGATCATGCCACCGCACTCCAGCCTGGGTGACGGAGCAAAACTGTCTCAAAAAGAAAAACAGATGATGAAAGACGATGGAGGGCGTCAGAGCTGAAGGTGTTAACTTTGAGCTTTGATTATTTGGCTGGACTTCAGAATTTATCACAAGAAGCAAGGGTCAGGAGAGTTGGCGCATTCATCCCTAGATGGGAAGCTGGCCGGGAGCTCTTGAGTTAGGATGTGGATGGAGATGACCAGAGCTGGGCCTGAGGCGTGTTCACGCAGCAGGAAGTTAGGACTTGTCTGAGGGAGGTGCTTGCTGTCTAGAAAACACAGTGGGATCGGAAGGAAGGGTAGGCCTGCTAAGACCTGGCACACCGTTGCGTGGGGACTGGGTGAGAGGAGATGCTGTGGCCAAGGGCTCAGAGCCTGAACCACCCAGAAGTGCTAGGTCACGAAGGAGGAGGAGCCATGGACTGTGCGTTTCTGACCTAGGGTGCCCGGAGTGCCGGTCGGAGTGCAGGTTGGGCTGTGCAGCTAACTGGGTTAAATCACACTCATCCTTTTTAAATTCTTTGTTTGTTTGTTGTTTGGTTTTTTTGAGAGATGGATCTCACTCTCTTGCCCAGGCTGGTCTCGAACTCCTGGGCTCAAGCTATCCTCCCACCTCGGCCTCCCAAAGTGCTGGGATTATAGGCATGAGCCACCACACCCAGCCTCATCTTGTTTTGGGAGGCTTTTAAAAAATTATTTTCGGGGTTGGTTTAGTTTAGTTTTTGTTTAATATACAGTAACATCTTGCAGTGAACTTTGTGGAAAAAGTCACTAGGATCTCAATGATGGTTTATCGTTCTATTTTAGGGCTTTTATTCATACATTCCTAGAAACATTAGCAATAATGCCAGCCAATAATCAGTAGATTGAAGTGGTTCTCTTCAAATTCTCAATGGAAGTAAAAGAAAAATCTAGATCATGCATCAAACACATCAAAATACATAACGTTTTATGTGGGGGTGTGTTTATGTGTTACCTCCTATTGAGAATTTCAATTAATAGTGTATCTTATGCCAAATAACTTTCTTTTTTTTGAGACGGAGTCTTGCTCTGTCGTCAGGCTGGAATGCAGTGGTGTGATCTCAGCTCACTGCAACCTTTGCCTCCCAGGTTCAGGCAATTCCTCTGCCTCTGCCTCCCGAGTAGCCAGGACTACAGGTGCGTACCACCGTGCCCGGCTAATTTTTTTATTTTAGTAGAGATGGGGTTTCACCAGTTGGCCAGGATGGTCTCAATCTCCTGACCTCATGATCCACCCACCTCAGCCTGCCAGAGTGCTGGGATTACAGGCGTGAGCCACTGTGCCCGGCCCCCAGAGAACTTTCTGATGGAGTCTTCTTATCCTGGTTTAGTGAGGAGACATTTTTCTCCCTCATGATTTAGACTTAACTCAAATTGGCTTACTTAGGAGGAATTTGACTGGCTTAGTAAGTGAAAAGCAACTCAGAGTCCCCAAGCACATCGGCTCAGCGTCCTTTGAGTCGGTCCCTCAGCCTGACTGCTGTACTTTTAGTGTTTCCTGTGCCTTTGCCTTTCCAGCTCCTGCCCTTCCTCTGCTCATACGTATTCATCGAGCAGTTATTATGCTGCGCTTACATTGCCTTTTTCCCCTTGTGATTGTATAACTGATTAACATACCGGTTGTATTCGTTTTCTAACTAATACAGAAAGTTTGTGTGTATATTCCAGCCAATAACTATGTTTGCCACAACAAAATATCATAAACTAGATAGCTTAAAACAACAGGAATTCATTCTGGAGGCAGAAGTCGGAAGGTGGTGTGGGCAGCACCGACCCTCACTCTGGAGGCTGTAGGGGAGGATCCCTCCTAGCCCCGGGTGCCTGCTGGCCAGCCTCGGCAGTCCTTGGCAGGCCCGGCTTAGAGATGCGTCGCTCCGGTCTCTGCCTCTGTCACACGTGGCGCTCCCCCTTTGTGTGGCTGTGTCTCTTCTCTCCTTCTTATAAGTCACGTTGGATTGGGCCCACCCTGAGGACCTCGTTTTAACTAGATCACACCTACATAGACGCTGTTTTCAAATAAGGTCACATTCGCAGGACCACAGGTAGGACTTGAACCTATCTTTTTGGGGAATGTAATCCGCAATGCTGGTCAAACTTTTTGGACAAATATTTGGGAAAAGTCAAGATAACTTATATGGTACCTTAAACAGAATCAGAAGCATTTGTAAAAAGGGTTTAACAACCACCGAAAAAGGCTTTTTCAAAGAGACGGGAAAAGTCTGAAGAGTTTATGCATTGTTGTGTGTGTTACCAAGACATGAACTAACACTTTAAATGTTCACGTGTTAGTGAATTCCTGCATTTTAAAGAAATCTTTCCCACTCTTAAACAGCCCAGGCGTGCAGAATGCCCCACAAGATTGGATTTGTAGTCGTCAGCTCATCTGGACACGAAGACGGCTTCAGTGCCCGGGAGCTCATGATCCACGCACCAACCGTCAGTGGGTGGCGGTCCCCGAGGTGAGGGCTGGACAGGGTGGGACTTGGGCTGGGAGGCAGCCTCGGGTCCCTGAGGAGGGCACGGGGCTTCTTTCACTCAAAGCCTCGGATTTTGCCGTAACTGAGGTATCAGGACCAAGGTGGTCAGCATGCGTTACAGTGTCGACATCTCTTTCTGTTTAGATTTTTAAAGAAAATGTTTTGACTCTCTTTCCCTTATAACATTCACCCACACTCCCTTAAGAAAGTGTGCGGATGTGGAGAAGGAGGAGGAGAAATGAGCCCCCAGAACTAACCGCATTCCCTGACCACACGCTGACCGCACGTTCTCGTTCTCGTGCAGAGGTTGTGCATGCAGCTCTGTTTGCTGTCGCAGTGGTGCTGCTGTGATGAAAGAGTGTCTAACTGCTTTTATCCGACACCAAGCTTTAACCAGGAACGTGTCCTTCACATTTCTCTTAAACACACGTATACTTTTATTACAATGTTCAGTTGGGCACAGTGGCTCCCGTCCTAGTCCCGGCTACTCAGGAGGCTGAGACAGGAGGATTGCTTGAACCCGGAAGTCCAAGGCTGCCGTGAGCTATGACGGCCCCTGCACTCTAGCCTGAGCGACAGAGTTAGACTCTGTCTCAAAACAAATGTTCATTATATGAGCGTTTTGCTTGATTATTTTCCTAAAACATTTGAGTCTTTTTGCCTCTGTTGCTTTGGTGTTTACAGCTGAGCGCCTTCATGCACTCCCTCGACGTCTGCCCTCGCCCTCCGCCCCGTCCCGCCTCCTCAGCGCCGTGCTCTCCATGACTTGCTTTCAAGTCTGACAAGTTACTGTTCATTCCTAACTCACGAATGTGTAAATATGTGTGACATTTTAAGTTCAGTCATATAATTAATTGTGTCTTGCTTTTATTCCGAAGATGTGTTGCTGAAAATCGAATGTAAATCTCATTTAAAGTGAAATTGTATGTTCAAATGTATGTTCAAACTCCGTACAGTTTTTGGAGTTTTTGAGGAGTTTTTGGAGTTTTGAGGAGTTTTGGAATTTTTGAGGAGACGCAATAAGTAAGGCTCCCCGTCCCCGCATTTCCCAGAAGTGAGTTCTGAATGAACTGAGAAATGAAGCAGTAGTCAAGCAGAAGTGGGCAGACGGCACCTGTGTCACCCACGGAGCTGGGATTGCTGGTGAGCAAGCGTCCCGATACGGCCCAGGCCATGACAGGCACGCTGTCCGTGCAGGCAGCATTAACAGGGTCCAGCCTCTGGCTGGAGGGCAGGAGGAGCACCCCACGGGGGCAGCCCAGGGCTCCCGCCCTCTCCTCCCGGACTCCGCATGTGAGCTTGCTCCTGCCTCTCCCAGGCAGCAGCATCCCCTCTGCAGAGGTCCTGTACGCTGACTGCAGTTGTTCCATGTTTATGTGGGGATTGAAGGTTCTCGAGTGTACACACAGCTACCCCTTTTGGTAAAGCCTATAAAAGTGACACCAGTATGGTTCTCTTATGTGTTGACGTGGTATTTCTTTAAAGGGCATAACCTATACTCACTTTAGTGACATGCTTTCAGTGGATGTACCAAAAAAAAGGATGTGTGCCCTTGGTCACCACAGACTCCCACTGGGTTTGGCTCAGGGGTCTCCTGACTTCCTGAGCTCAAGCTCATGGCAGAAAGACAAAGGAAGACAGCCTGAAGCCAAGCTGCCAACGGCAGAACAGGGCGCTCTGTTACCACAGCTCATAGAAAACGTAGGACCCTCTACATCGGAGCTTAGGGCATGGATCGATGCAGCTCCAGGAGAGGCACTTCAGGGGGTTACAAGAGACCCAGGGAGACCCCCAGTACCATTCATGTGACCTCAGAATTCAGACATTTTTCCAGGAAAGCATAAAGGTTGCACCAACCGTAGCCTCTGACCATCCATTTTTTGGTTGTCAAATTAGTTTTATTTTTAAAAATCTATATCTGTCCATTTATCTTGAAAGGATAAATACTAGCCTTTTTAGCTGTGTGGTTTCTTTTTATATTCAGCTTGAAAGGTATTTTTGATTCATCTGTAAACCGTTCATCAACTACATTTGAGTAGCTTAATCATAGCCCCTTTTTGGAAGGATTTTTTAAAGTACAGTCCTACATCCCTCAACGGTGGGGACACATTCTTAGAAATGCACCATCAGTCAGTTTCATGGAACACCTGGAGTGTGCTTAGACCCAGGTACAACAGCCTGCCCCTGCACACCTCGGCTCTGTGGCATGGCCAGTCGCCCCTGGGCAGCACACCTGCACAGCATGTGACTGTGCTGAATACAGTGGCAATTGGGACACAGGTAGGTATCTATATCTAAACATAGAAAAGCTAAATCAGAGTACAGTGTTGTCTTCCTAGGAGACCACTGTGTCATGCAGTGTGTGACTCTGTACAGCTTCAAATCTTGGCCAGTTGTCTTGGTTTTCTTTAAACAGTTTTGGAGTTTTGTTGTTGTGGTGGTGGTTGCTGTTTTTAATAATAAAGGTTTTTAAATAATAGATTATTTATTGTCCTTATGTTCAGATAATCTCATCATGAATTATAATATACGTGCCCTGCATTTAAAAGCAGTAACTATCTAAAGCAGCACTTTATTGAAATGAAAGACTAAAGAATTTCATTTCAAAAGTTGACGATTTTGCAGTTCGTGCCTGCCCCAAATGTGCCTCTCTTGAAGCTTTGTGTTTTTGGAAGTAGTGTGGGGTCTTTGCTGACTGCTGCGATCCTCTAAGCAAATCTTAGCTTTTTTAATATGTTATGTCACTTTTGGGCCTGGCACAGTGGCTGGCACCTGTAATCCTAGCACCTCGGGAGACTGAGTGGGGGGGATCCCTTGAGCCCAGGAGTTCAAGACCAGCCTGGGCAAAAATTTTTTTCTTGTTTTTTTGAGACTGAGTGTCACGCTGCCGCCAGGCTGGAGTGCAAGCGGGATCTTAGTTCGCTGCCAGCTCTGCCTCACGGGTTCAAGTGATTCTCTTGCCTTAGCCTCTTGGGACTATAAGCGTGCACCACCACACTCAGCTAGTTTTTGTATTTTTAGTAGAGATGGGGTTTCACCATGTTGGCCAGGATGGTCTCAATCTCTTGACCTCGTGAACTGCCTGCCTTGGCCTCCCAAAGTGCTGGAATTAGAGGCATGAGCCACCACGTCCAGCCACAAAATCTAAAAATATAAAAATTATCCAGGCACAGTGGCACATGCCTGTGGTCCCAGTTCCTCAGGAGGCTGAGGTAGAAGGATCCCTTGAGCCCAGGAGATCAAAGATGCAGTGAGCCATGATCACACCACTGCAGCCTGGGTGACGGAGCGAGACCTTGTCTCAAAAAAAAAAAAAAAAATTATGTCACTTTTGAGGAAAGTTAGACGCTGCAGCGTGGGCCATAGTGTAGGCTTCTATCCTGAGAGCACTCTGCGTGAATGGTGGGCATGCCTTCAATGCTGATACCTTGGGGCCCTTAAGCATTTGGGTTCCTGTGGAAAATCCTTTGGCTCCATCCTGCCCACTAGTGCCGCCTCATAAGACTGATTTATCTTATGTTTAACTTCAGGTTTCACGTCAGACCATTGACTAGCTGCCAAAAGTATGATCCCTGTAGGGTTGCAGGCGGATCAGGTCAAATTTTATTTCCAAGCTCCCGCTCTGACACGAAAAGCTCGAGAGAACGGGAATTGGCGTTGCGGGCATCTCCGTCCCGGCAGTGCCCCACCCTGCCCAGTTCACAGCACGGCGCGGGTCATGCCTCTTCACTGCAAGAATGACGTGCTAGCCCCTAGAAACCCTCTGCAGGAATGGTTCAGAAGGAATAAAAACGTGTTTGCTTTCAGATTTTGCCAATTTCCCCAAGAAATTGTCCTTCAAATGGTGGAGAGGTGTCGAATAAGGAAACTCCAGTTACTTGCTCACCAGTATATGATTTCAAGTAAAATCGAGTTCTACATTAGCGAAAACTTGCCTGAATATTTTGCACCATATCAAGCAGAGCGGTTTCGAAGACTTGGGTAAGAATGAAATTTAAAATGTATAATGGCAGCTTTTAGGCTAATTCTACCTGAAAGCTCTTAAAAATGGATTGTCTTGCTGGACGTGGTGGCTCACACCTGTAATCCCAGCACTTTGGGGAGGCCGAGGCGGGTGGATCATGAGGTCAGGAGTTCAAGACCAGCCTAGCAAGATGGTGAAACCCCATCTCTACTAAAAATACAAAAATTAGCTGGGCATGGTAGGATGCACCTATAATTCCAGCTCCTCGGGAGGCTGAGGCAGGAGAATCGCTTGAGCCTGGGGGGTGGAGGTTGCAGGTGAGCCAAGATTGTGCCACTGCACTCCAGCCTGGGGAACAAAAGTGAAACTCCATCTCAAAAAAAAAAAAAAAGAATTGTCACTTAACTTTTGGTCTTATATTATGTACTTCCATTTGGTTCAAGAGTACACAATTTCTTAATACTTGCCTCTTAATGAATATGCTTTAAAAGCAGCGTTATAATTTCTCTGAACTGTGCTATTCAACTCTAGTTTTCAGATGCAGAACTTTTTTTAAGAACGCTAATTAGGTGAGCAGTCTGGCCACCATGGTGAAACTGAAAATACAAAAATTAGCTGGGCAAGGTGGCGGTGCCTGTAATCCCAGCTGCGCGGGAGGCTGAAGCACGAGAATCGCTTGACCCTGAGAGGCAGAGGCTGGAGTGAGCCGAGACCGCACCACTGCACTCCAGCCCAGATGGCAGAGCGAGACTCTGTCTCCAAAAAAAAACACCAAGAATGCTAATTAGAATTTGAGTTCTAGGGGTTTTTCCTAGGTTTTTCATTCTAGGCTTAGCTTCTGTTCAAACCTATGATCCTACGTAGGGTAGTCTAGCTTTAAAAAGTAAAATAATAGGCCGGGCGCGGTGGCTCAAGCCTGTAATCCCAGCACTTTGGGAGGCCGAGGCGGGTGGATCACGAGGTCAAGAGATCGAGACCATCCTGGTCAAC